TTCCTTGTGTCCCTCCTCCCCCTGGTGTTCACTTCCTCCGCCCCAACAGGTGTGCAATCACTTAAACGTTGGACATTGTGATTAATTTCACACAAGCATACACGCATACACGTTTGGAGCCAGAGCTGAACCATTAGGACTCGAAATTCTCATTCCCTTTTTGTTCTTGTTCCTAGTCATAGTTAATGTTATGTAATGGCATGATTACGAATCGCTGAAAACGAGCTTGTTCCCCACGCTGTTTTTCTCAATGTACTCTGTGGGACCATTCAAACGTCTGGAAGTAAACGCGTAGGAACAGAAAAGGTGACACTGAGCCAATCACATAAAAGAATTGGGGTGTGGGGTGTGGAGGGGCATAAACAGCTAGATATGAAGGTGTTCAGACTCCAGCATGTAGGTGACGTGATTGTGTGTGTCTCCGTGTGTGTATAATACCTAATTACATCAGGAAACTACTGAAGAAATGGAGCAAATCAGAAGTGAAACGAAAAGCTAGCTAGCGCACAATAGTTGTTACGACCCGATTGGGTCTAATCAACAGTGCGAACCTGTCAACCTAACTGAAGGCTACTGCTGAGGTGAACCAGGTGCGATCTCCGTTATAAGCCTAATTGGATGGGTGTAGACGAAAGATAAAAAAACGGTCTGATCATTTGATCGGAGGTCTAGTTGGTAGTGTGCTTACGTTCCCGTGACATCCCAGGTTCAATCTGATGTCGGGTCGGTGAGACCCATCCAGGTCAAATCAGTTCTCCAGTACTTCCTAAGTTCGCAGTTCATTCTTCATTTGACCTGTTGGCCAAAAAATCGCTATATAAATACAAACAGCTTTGATATAACATTCTACAAGACACATTTCCTTTCCAAGGCGGAAAATACCCCAATGCCCCAGCTAAAAGTGCATTGACAAATATGGAATACATCATGATTCTGAAGGGAAAACTCAAAGTTCGTTTAAGTGCCTGCTGGAAGACCGTGGGATGGTAAAGGTATACCTGGGGGATAAGAGTAATTGAGGGCGTTAGCAGGATTGCCATTCTTTTTGCTTGATTTCATGGAGTTTCAATTTCGCATTCACATCCTTGATTTTTTATATTGGCACAAAAAGTGTTTCTCCGTGGGAATGTTGGTGAATGAAATAACTGCCATATAAATGCATAAATAATTTTCAACGCACAGTGTTCCGTTCAGTAAATGGGAACCAAAAAACACTAAATACAAAAAGTAAAAGCGCCGTAGACGAGAGGTATAATAATGGCACATGCATCCAATTGTGATGTAGTGACTTACATTCAGAAGATTCAACTTTTCTACTAGTTCTTCGTGTTGAGCTTGTAACGTGTTTCCCTGAGGTTGGATTGGGGTGTCCATCTTTGGAATTATACAGAAAACAGGTGAACTTCTTCAGCAAGTTGTGAGGCATATTACTGTGACGTTGTAGTACCATGAAACTAAAAGCGGTTGACATCGGATGGCATATAATCACGACTAGGGCGAGCTTTCCTGCACCCGAATGCACAGTTGATGTGGCTGATTACACACTTACCTGCATTTTGTGCAATATTCGTTGCGGTGGACCGTTCGGGGCAACTTGACGTAAGGCATCAATCGATTCACTTGAAACCAAAGTGCCCACCTAACACGAGCAAAGATATGAGAATGATGAACTGAAGGATTGAGAAGAGGTAAACAGACAAACAGACAGACAGACAGACAGACAGACAGACAGACAGACAG